AAACCCAGAAAGAGCGATTCGGATATTAACAGTGGAAACATCTCGGTACATGAATCTTCTACGAACTCAACAAATCAGAGAAATATTGCACTCTCCTAAACGTTGTCGCATTTTCAAAGATCCTTTGGCAAAGGCTGCATTCAAAGTCACCAAACGGCTTTTCAGCTCAGAAGTGCCTACATTATCGAGATCTAAGACATTCATTTACACCTCGCCATGTATTCATTTTCTAGAATGTTTGTCATGTATTATTTGATTCTTCTTCTCCCTTATGAATAAAGACAATCTTTCCTCAAAATCATTTCCTTCTGAGCATCTTGAATTGGATTTAAACCTAATGATTTATTTACTTTTGCAAAAGATAATCGCATATTACTGTACAAAGATTCATTGAAAAGTACAGGTACCCAAAAGCCGATCAAGGCTCATACACATACTGGAGATGGTTGAGGAGCATCTCCCAAATCAAGAAAAAATAGAATGTGCACATCAATTTAAACATTTGAAGAACTTAAGATCAGGGATCAGAACTTCAAGATTTCAAAATCAAGAGTGAACAACGACAGGCCACCGGAGATCGAGATTTCTCTCCATAGCCCACAATAACATAGGGTGCATATGCATTTTAGGCATACCTAAGAGCATGACATCCATAACATTGCATATATGCATATCTTTGCAGGTTTTACCTAGAGCCAATTTCAACTCAAGAACGACACAATTTGCTCAAGGGTAGATTTCAACTTCATGGCGAAAGATATCTGACTCGAGGCCAAACTTTACAATAAATGGGTCATCCACGGTTTCAACTTCACGACGAAGGGAGTCGTGTCCACCCGCAACATACAATACTTGGATTTCAACTTCACGACGAAGGATATTCAAGTCAAGGCTCAACTTCACAACGAAGGGGCCATCCGTGATTTCAACTCCACAACGGAGGATATCGTGCCACTCGAGACAACACAAGTTCAACTTCATAACGAAGGGACCGCTGGTTGTCAATAAACAACTTCCCAATTTCAGAGCCAATTTCAACTTCACATCGAAGGATATTGGACTCCAGACAACGCAAGTTCAACTTCAAGACGAAGGGACCGCTGGTTGTCAACAAACAACTTCTCAATTTCAGAGCCAATTTCAACTTCACAACGAAGGATATTGGACTCCAGACAACGCAAGTTCAACTTCACGACGAAGGGACCACTGGTTGTCAATAAACAATTTCCCAGTTTCAGAGCCAATTTCAACTTCACAGCAGATGATATTGGACTCGGAACAATACTTGGATTTCAACTTCACGACGAAGGATATCCAATTCTCAGGTTCAACTTCACAACGAAGGGGCCATATACATATATAACTTCACAATGAAGGAGTTATCTGTGACACATCAACACCAAAGTCTTCAGGTCAAGTTTAACCTTCACAACGAAGTATCTTGAGCTAGAAGGCGACCTAGGAGTCACTTGCCAAAAGCTTTGGGTTCGAGTTCAACTTCACGACGAGGATATCGTGTTCAGAAGTGCCCAGTTCAACTCGACATCACAACCAGGAAGTTATTTCACATTTCAGTGCAATTTGACAAGCCTTAATATCGGATTTCAACTCTACGATAGAGGATATTCGATATGGCCGAAAATTGTGTCTTTTAATCTTTGCTCTATTGTCATTACACGAAAATGAGCAAAGAGGGGCAGCTGAAGACACTAGATTTCGACCACATAAATTATAAATTATAATATGATATTATAATACACATGGCATTTACATTTATGTTTTATTGTTTATAATATATACGTGTATTACTTGACATACATATCATATTATTGCAATATACCACATTTATTCATTTGGGTTTACATGATACAGGCCCAATGAACTGCAACCAAACGCTTTGATCCAACAGTGGCCCAGCACAGTAGCCCGTAGAGGATTAGGGTTTCACCTTATCTTATGCTTCCAGCCACCGCTCAATGACCGTTGGATCTAGGTTAGATCCAACGGTCCACAGCAGACCCATCTAGGGTTTCATCTTGTTCCAAACCTAGCCCGTTCCAGTGTCGTTTTTGACACTGCATGTCTCAGTCAAACTCCTCACGCCTCACGCCTCTGGCCACGCACACAACTGTCACCGGATTTCACGACAACCACCAACAACACGCAAGGATCTCGCACAGTCAACAAGAAAATATTAGAGTCCTATTAGGATTCAAATAGGTCCAAAAATAGCACAAATCGAAGCTATAAATAAATGTAATCGAACCCATTTGTGAGGACGGTTGGATACGAAATACAAGCAGAAATTTCACAAAAACTACGAGCAATATTAGGTTGAAATCGAAGCATCTTTTCAGTATTTTTTAAAGCAATAGAAGGTAAAGTTTGTACATTTTTCGTTTTAAGGCTTGCATGTGTTCTCCTCTTCATTTTTGACTAGAAAAGCAAAGTTTTAAACCGATGAGCATGGGGGAAAGACCGAGTTTTCTTTTTTAGATCTACTCACCCCCGAGGTTCGTTTTCAAAAACCATTTTGATTTCCTTAAAGAAGAGAGGGAAAAGATTTGGATAAGCAAAAAAAATACGTATCGCCGCCGTTGAACGACGGCCGGCGAGGTGGCTCACGGTGGCCGGTTTCTAGGTTTAGTCCGACCCACGGCCGTGTTCTTGAACTCTCAAGAACATTTGAGAGAATTTTAAAACCATGGGAGGGCTCTTGGAGAGAGAGAAGAGGAAATGAAGCTTTTAAAAAAATTTGACATTTATAATAAACCCGAATCGGCCCATTAACTCGATCCATCAGCAGGGTCCGCGTGTTTTGTTCTAAAAGGGGGAAACCTTGATTCTGGTCCCTCTCGTTTCAAACAGTTCTGATTTGCCCCCCTTTAACCCAATTGCACCTTGAATTCCTATTAATTTTGACCCCAAGTTTCACTTTATTTTTGATTTGGCCCCTTTATTTATCATATACATATTTAATTCATTGATTTGTATCTTTCATATTATTATTATTACTATACGTATGTATATATAGTTTAAATTATTTTCATTTTTTTATACTATATTTCGTTATTTTATATATATATATATATATATATATATATATATTCTAATATTTTTAAGTCTATAATCTATATATTGTAATTATCTTTGTTTGGTTTCTTGGTTTTTTTTAACAGTTTATTTATATGTTTATTATTATTATTATGTATATATATATATATATATTTTTTTTTCTTCTTGTTCATCATTATTACTTATTATCATTAATGTAAATATTTTTTTTCTCTTGTTTTCCCTTTATTATTATCATTGTACATTTCTTAGAGGTTATTTATTTATTTATTTATTATTATGGTTATTTTTTTAGTTTTTACATACTCGTATTATCATTATTCCATTATTTAATATTTTTATTTATTTATTTATGTGTTATATTATATATATATATACGTATTTTACTTTATTTCTTAATACTTTTTTTTATTTTTTTATATTATATATATATATATCATTTTTTTCTTTTTTAAATCTGCAAGCTAATGTACATATATATATTATATCTTCTTTTCCCTCGTTTTTGTTCATTTATCTCAATTTATTCTCGATTTTGTTTATTGATTTTTTTCTCCATATTAACTATGTTGTAATTTATCTTCATCACATTTGTTTTTCTAACGTGTTCCTTGATTCTTTAAGGGTATGTTTTCAAAACGGTTAAAGGTAGGTAATTCGGATCGTCATTTTATCTTTTAATTTAACATTATAATTTTCTTAATTAAAGACAACTGGAAATTACACAGTATCGAAAGGGCAGTTCAAAGGTGCTAACCCTTCCTTGACTGTAACCGACTCCCGAATCCGACACTTCACTGGTAAGGCGCAGATCAGGTAAGAAATAAGGTACCCGGTCAACCTGTTTATTTTTAAAATAAATGATCGGTGGCGACTCCTAATCTATTTTCCTAAGTCGAAGCCCAATTCCGGGCCAAACCGAAAGACGGTTACGACAGCACCAAATTATGAACTTAAGAAGAAACAGATGAATCAATTTCAACTTTTAAAGCAAAAACATAATAGCAACGAAGCATCAAAATGACAGCAAGATGAAATTCATTTCACAATGCCACAAACATAGGATGGTCGAAAAGAAAAGAAACAATGGACAGAGAATGGTCGGAAAGAAAATGACCGGTGGACGGAGGGTTTGGCGGCTTTCTTTTGATTTGGACATTGGGTTGTTGATTTAGGGGTTAGGGTTTGTATTTTAAGGATTTTAATTTTTTTATTTAAAATATTATATGAAATTATATACTAATAAAATATGTTATGTCATAATAAAATGTTAATAGAATATGCTCATGTCATAGGAAAATATTAATAAAAAAAAGTCATGTCATAGGAAAATATTAATAAAAAATGTTGTCATTCTAGTGAGTAAAAAAATTCAATCTACAAAATTTAGTGAGTAAATTGAAAATTTTGAAAGTTCAATAAATAAAATAGGAGAAAAGAATCAAATTTAGTGAGGAACGGAGTAACTTACCCTATAAAAAATAAGACTATGTATCTAGTCACTTATCTATTCATGCAGTTCCGTTTTGGTCATCAAAATATTATTTTTTAAATCAAACTTAATGTTACGTTTTTGTTTCATCTTAGTCATCATTCGTTAAAAAATGAATAGAATTGTTGAGAATTTTTTTATTTTTTAATAATGATAGCGACATTCTTTTATGATAACATGTCAATATTATTGTTAATTATTTAATAATAGGTGATCAAAATGTAATATCATGTATAATTTAAAGGAAAAAAATAATTAAATGACTAAAACAGATGACCAACTGCATAATTCATCCTATAAAGTATATATGTAGATCGTATATGATTAACAAGTCATTTAAACTGGAAGCGTAGTATCATAACATATGAATAATTATATTAAAACTTGAACATAAATTCGAACAATTATATTTTATACCAGCGAATAAAGTATTCCTATTATCTTTGTTACAACAATAGTTCCTCATACGACATGCTGTTATATCTTCGATACATTTGTTTGCCACCATTGCTGCCTCTTAAGACAAACAACGCATTTGAAAGTAAAAATTTGAACTTTTCCAACTCATGTCCTTCACCCTCCATAACTGAGTTATCTTAGCATTTAGCCACTAGTTAAGGCAGCAAGTAGAAATAACTGGCAATGGAAGCCGACGCTACTACTCGCCCTTTTTTGCACGATTCCACTAGTTCAGACAAGATCTTGCTCTTCTACTCGGACTTCATTCGGAAGGTATCTATGGAAACCGATATTTATTCAAACGCCAGCCTTTGGGTGTCAACTAATGAAGCATATTGCCCCTTCCTAGCCAGCAATTCCATATGGGATCCCAGTTCTGCTATCTGGCCATTTGAACAAAGAGCAATTTGATGGGCGTTCTGAACTGTGCTTAATCTATGAGCAAACACTAAGGACGACATTATGTGGACTTAGGATCTCCAGCCTCAACAGCTAGTTTTTGAAGTGTGGTTCTCCAAAGATACAATATGATAAATTTCTTTACAAAAGGAGTAAATGAGCAAGGGCTTAATTATCAACAGACCAAATTTAGGTGGTGTCAAAAGAAGCAGGGCTTAAGGAAGAAAAGTGTATATTCATATTTGTGAAACATGACAAGTGGATTATTATAAAGAAAGGCTAAACTTGTAATAGCCTATAACATAAAACACTCAAAACCATTGATAACCCACCTTCCACAGCAACTTGATGAGTAAAGTATCACAAAGTTTTGGCAGTAGGTCTACCTAGTATCTATTATTGTACAATAGGTAGAAAATTTAGGTTAAGCAAATATAATAAACATGAATCTGATACCGTAAGATTCCTAAAGAGTATTAAACACAATAAAGTAAAATAGAGGATGATGAATATACCTCTACATGATTATGTAGTAAATGAATAAATTCAAACAACGAATAAACATGCAAAATAAACAAAATTTGCAAAGAGGGTGTATTTACCAACTGAAACGGACACGAAAAGCATCAACAGACCCAAAATTGGGGCTAGTTGGGGGGATAGGGCAAACAGTATGCAAATCGTCCCAACAACCTACAACATAAATTGACCAACATAAAGTGAGATAAAATAAAAAATGCTCCTTTCAACAAAATCACACATGAAGATTTCCCGGAAATGAAAAGACAAACATAATACCAATTCTGCTAAAATTTAGAAATCCAGGTACTTTTAGCATTAATATTAGTGAAGGAAGAACTAAGTCCATTAGAGTCAGATAATTCAAACTACTACACGCTCAACTTTAGGCAACATCCAGCTCACTTTTACTTTAGTATATAGTGGCTTGCCTCAGAAAGTGCCCTGAAACCTCGATCCCTCGAAATGTTCTCACTGACAACATCTTTTAAAGAACCCAAATCAGATGTCAGCAAACCACTGAGCTCACCAACCTGTAAGAAGCAAAATTAAAATACTAAACTTTCACAGACAGCAACCAAAAAAAAAGTTTCTTAAATTGAGCATTCAGAAACCTTGTATCGATCGAAAAACTCCGCCTGCATCAACAAATTAAAAAAATCAATTAGAAAATTACAAGTAAACTGACAAATTGAGAAGATGATTCAAAATGATCATAGGTTAAGCATTCCTTTTGAACCAAATCTCTACTAAAAATCTGAGCTCGAAGTTGACATAACTTTCTCCCATATGGTATTCATATTTACCACAAAAATAACAGTGAAAATAGGCTCTAATGAGTATAGAAGCCCCACTTTGCTAAGCAGCTTCCATAACGGCTCTGATCTGGTGCCTATGAGAACTTCGAAGAATCGTCCTGTACATTTTCTCAATCTTAATTAATTAGCATAAGCAATTAAGTATCTCCTATTTCGTCTTAACTTGAAAAACTGAAAGAAATAGCTTACCAGAAAATATAGGCATTGACAGAGTACACGTGGTGCCGCCAACGAGAGCCAACACCGAAAGACAAAGTCTGAACTTGTGCCGAGCAAAGAGACTCCATAGAAGCTTCCGGCTTATCAAGTTCGACGCCTCGGTCTTATCAGAGTCGGGCTCCGAATCGTCAATCCTCGGGTCGGATTCGGTCACGATCGGAGGACCAGTAACGTAAGCGCGATATACCGAACTCAAGATGTAATTAGATCTTGTGGATTTTGAAGTTGCGGAGAGTGAAACTAGCGGGAAAGTGGACGGTTGGTGAAGATGGGCATTTAGGGAGATGCTGGGTTTGAGTTTACGAGCGTTATGTGTCCTAGAGGAGAAGCGCGTGGGAATGAGTTGTTGATGGAGGGGCGCAATTACAGGGGGGGAGGCAGTAGCCATGGGGATGAATGAATAGAGAAAATAAATAAGAGAAAGCGAGAGATAAAAGGGTCTATCACGTGACGTTCACGTCGAAGCAACGGACTTGGAAGACGGTACCCAAACGACGACGTATCGATAGGTGTCCTAACCGCTCCTAGAGTCGTGGACAAATTTTAGCCTTTGATTTTAAAACATTCAGCAATGAAAAAACTATCACTAAAATGATTATCAAAAGATAAAATAATTTCAGTGACCGAAAATATCTTATAATATACGATTTTAATTAATTTTTTTTTGCGAAAATAACTAACAAATTCGCAACGCGAACTCCAATTTCGCAACACAATTTCCAAATTCGCAACACGAATTTCCCAAATTCGCAACTCAGTTTCTGCAATCACATCACGAATTTCTTTCTCGCAACTCGATTTTCTAAATTCGCAACACGAAATTTCAAATTCGCAACACGGAATTTTAAATTCGCAACTCGATTTCTGAATTCGCAACGCGAAATTCTTTTTCGCAACAAGATTTTCTAAATCGCAACACAGATTTTGTTTTCGCAACTCGATTTTCGAATTCGAACACGAATTTTAATTTCGCAACAACTTTTATTTTTGCAACACAAATGTTTTGGGTATATAAACTACGCAGCAGCAGCAACTCATAACCTAAATCTCTAAATCGCAACTCATTCCATCTCTCACTCTCTCCGACGACATTCGTTCCTATATCCAACGACATCCTTCCCCATCTCTAATTTTTTTTACATAATTTTATTTCTATATAATTTTCAATGATTTCTCTCCCAAATTATCAACTATCAACTTAATAAATGTATGTTTTTCTCTAAGTTAGTGATGATATCTAGTTTATAGCTCGTTTGTTTAGTAAATTAATTTACAATTTGTAGAATGAAATCATCTAATGTTGATCATGTTTGGATAGATTTATGTTTTGGAGGGTCATGGGAGAATGTTAATGGTGTTTTACAATATATGTCTTTACCCATGAATCTTCAACTAAAACTGTCATTAAAAAATTTACTTATGAAACTCTAATGTTATGTGTTGCAAAGAAATTGAATTTAGAGCCTCTAAGTGGATTTAGGCTATCTTATAAGAGAAAATGTAAAGTTTATTTGTTAACCGATAATGAAGATATTGAACGATTCATTGCTTACATTAGTGTTTCGCAAGATAATGTTACATTGTATGTTGATGAACCTAGAAGTAGTGAAGTTTGGTCAGTAGCGGGTAGTAATCAACTAAGTTCTTCAACCCCAATTTATGGTGCTCACATTGTACAACGTTGTTATCAACCTCAAAATTTAATGGTTCCACCACAATTTCATCACCAAGAAAATTTTGTTTCACCATATTTTCAATACCAAACACAATATCAAACACAATCTCAAAACCCACAACCTTTCCCTAATCCAAATCCCAATAAACTTTCAGCACCAAATTCCGGTTTTCGTATTGACCAGTTAGACGATGATGAGCTAACAGAAAAAATTGTGAGTACTAGTCAGTATTCGAAATTTGATCTTGGTTAATATCCGGACTTTGATCTTGGTCAATACTCGGATTTTGATGATGTTTCAGAAGAAGAAACAGACCCTGCGTGTAATGATTTTGATATTGTCAATACCCGAATTTTGATGATGAAACAACCATTGCCGATGAAGATGTTGTTGATGATAATGAGGAAGAAGTTACGACTGTGAATGAACATGTTGAACATTCATTTTGTAATTCATATAACCCTGAAGAAGGAAAAGAAGAAAATACCACGGGTGTATAACTGGAATATGTCATAATTACTTCAGATACCGGAAGAAGAGTTGGTAAAGATAGCAGTTGATTGTTAAACAAAAGTTATTCGTATCAAGAAAGATGATTGTTTTGATACAAAGGAAGACTTGAAGATAGCTTTGTATACAAAATGTGTGGAAGATGGCTATCAACTAAAAGTTAACAAATCAAGCAAAGATCGTTTCGAAACAAAGTGTATGATTGACAAAAACTGTATGTGGCGTATGATTGCAAAGAGGATAAAAGATTGTGAAATGTTTCAAGTTAGAACTTTTATTGATAAACATACATGTTCAAGAACCCAAGTTTCTCCTCACCATAGACAAGCAAACAAAAAGGTGTTGGGTGGTTTTCTGGCTGAGTTAATGTTTTTGAATGGCAGAGTATATTAGGGACATTAAATTATGTCTGACATAAATGCTCGGTTCAAGATTAGTATCTCATATTATCAAGCTTGGAGAGCCAAATGTTATTGGTCACCAGAAGCATCATTTGCATAACTGCCGGCTTATTGTCACAATTTAAAGCTGAAAAATCCTAGGTCGGTAACTCATATCAAAACATATAGAGATGGACATTTTGAGTTGTTGTTTATCGCCATTGGTGATGCGGTTAGTAAATCAATATAATTTTGTTGACTCATTTTTGTTAGTTACATGCATTTCACATTTAAATGATTATATTTCTTGTATATATTATTATTTTGTAGATTCGTTCGTTTATTACTTGCATGCGCCCAGTTATTATAGTTGACGGAGCATATTTGAAAGGTCGATACCTTGGAGTAAACTTATTAGCAGTAGCCATGGATGCTAACAATGGGATACTGCCAATAGCTTACGGGGTTGGCAAATCTGAAACCTCTGATTCATGGACATGGTTTATGGGGCATCTTAGGGATTGCATAGGTCCTATTAGCAATTTGATAATCATATCCGATAGGGCAAACTCAATTGACAACGTTGTTAGAAGGTGTTTCCCAGATGTTTTTCATGGACTTTGTGGTGTTCATTTGTACAGAAATCTAAAATCAAGGTATGCTGGTATAAAAAATCACAAATGGACATATTGAAAGGCTGTAAAAGCTTATCGGGAAGTGGATTTTAATAAGCATATAAATTGTTTAAGACGTGTTTTGCCTCAATGTGTTCAAACACTAGAAGATGTCGGGTTTGAAAGATGATCAAGAGTACATCAACTTGGAGCAAGATATGGTTTCATGACGTCTAATATTGCAGAATCAATCAACGCTCTAAGTCGTCATTCCCGAAAATTACCCATTACTATGTTAATGGAGTTTTTCGAGCCTCTATTCAACGGTGGTAATACAAGAAAAGAAACCATACAGGTATTATTTCTTTAAATTCGTAACTTATCATATTTAATAGATTTTACTAAGTATTATTTATTTAAATTTACAGGAACATTGGAACGTCGTGTTACACCATGGACTGAAAAAAAAAGATAACGAAACGTGTTGTGAAGTCAACGTCATGGAGAGTTGAACCATGTTCAAACACTTTGTTTGAAGTATTGGATAATAACTTAAATGGGTTTGTCGATCTAAATGCAAAGATGTGTAGTTGTATGAAATGACAAACATCTGGTTATCCGTGTGGCCATGTTATAAAAGTTGCTCTTCATCTAAACCAAGATGATTTAAGCGCATACGCTATGAATTGCTACACTACAAAAGTATATCGACAGACTTATGCCGAGATTGTCTACCCTATTCCACATCCTTCTGAGTGGGACATACCAGATGACTTACAAACATTTTTGCCACCAGTAATGGACAGAAGGCTACCTGGTCGACCAAAAAATCATGATCGTATACCGACTAAGGTGAAGAGAAGAGGATATCGACATGTAGTCGGTGCAAGGAAAGTGGTCATACAAGGTTGACCTGTGGATCACCAGTGCTATCACAATCATCTTTTCCTCAACCAAAATATATATCCTCATCAAAATCCAAAGTTCATATGGTGCCAAGCAAAAGGAAATCAAAATCGCAATCAAAATCAAAATCTCAATCACAACCGGCTTCACCTTTTGAGACTTATTAACTTAGGTGATTTTTAAATGCAAACATTGTATTATGTGTATTTTATATGTGAATGCATATATTTTCAGTTAGACATGTATTAGTAACTTGAGTTTGAACATTGCTATGATCTATTCAGTTGTTATCACTTATCAGATTGTTGTCTGTTATCTTTCTGAAGGTGTTTTCCTTGAATTCACAATGCGAAAGCCAAATTCGCGTTGCGATTATTGCGAAAGTCAAATTCGCAACGCAAAAATCAAATTTGCAACACGAAAATCGAATTCGACACGCGAAAATAAAAATCGCAACGCGAATTTGACTTTCGCGTTGCGAATTTGATTTTCGCGTTGTAAATTTGATTTTCTTAAAGGTGGTGTACCTTCAACATGTCTTTTTTTCCTTTAACATAATGCAGATTGAAATTAAACAACAAATCAATTAAACAAAAAAAAACAATTCTTATTTACACTTGACAACACATTGATACATCAATTAGCCCCAGAAAGTACATCCAAATGCTCCTAACAATAGGGAGCTTACATCCAAATACGTCAATTTCACACAGCTCACTTGAAGGATTAACCTGCAGAAACGTTATGGCCATGAGATTTTCTACACATCTAAAACCAACAAATATGAGATAAAATTATTGATTTCTAGGTACTTAACCAAACATTTTCAAACCAACAAATAGTATATATGTTAACAACACTTGCTCAAACTTACCAATAACAAATGGTTGTTTATACACTCTTTCAGCACGCGGATGCAGGTAGGCAATGTCTCGCGTATAGCTCTCTAGCCATAAAATACCGAAACCACAACCCTATTGCACCTCTATCTCTATCTGTGGGAGGTAGAAACTGTTTATCTCATCTCGTCATACGTTCCAAGCACATGCATACAAGAGGACCACAATCCCCTCTGATTCCCGAAGTTTGTTGTGGAGCTGTCTCGTCTCTCATCATTGTAACCTTTAACTTATTTGGCTTCTTATTTCCTGAATTAGTCCAATAATCAATCGCATCCAAGTATTTAGCCAAATGATTGCTCCATCCCCTACAAGTAATATCTTTCAAATCAGACAATGGTATGTAATTCAATATGCTGTCATATACTATCGTCTTCAAGGATGGGAGCTGAAGCTTGACGAG